TTAAAAAAAAAGCCAGGAAAGGCCGGGCGCGGTGGCTCACGCCTGTAATCCTAGCACTCTGGGAGGCCGAGGCGGGCGGATTGTTTGAGCTCAGGAGTTCGAGACCAGCTTGAGCAAGAGCGAGACCCCGTCTCTACTAAAAATAGAAAGAAATTAATCGGACAACTAAAAATATATAGAAAAAATTAGCCGGACATGGTGGTGCATGCCTGTAGTCCCAGCTACTCGGGAGGCTGAGGCAGAAGGATCACTTGAGCCCAGGAGTTTGAGGTTGCTGTGAGCTAGGATGACGCCACGGCACTCTAGCCCAGGCAAAAAGAGTGAGACTCTGTCTCAAACAACAACAAAAAAAAACCTTAAACTTTAAATACTTAAGGACAAACTTTATAATTTTTCCTGGTTGCTTTGAATCCAAAGGCCACGGAAATGACACATTTCTACATTGTAATTCATTATCTGTTTTTGTAAGGTGGTTTCTGATAGATCTCTTGGGTTAAATCACGAAACAAGCCCAAGCTGCAGATCCCACGTGGTGACCACCTGGAGACGGTGAGAGTGGGATGGGGGCCCTTGGAATCACGGAGGCTGCGGTCATGGCGGGACGGGTCTTGCATGTGTTCACTTCTGTTCACGGAGCTCTACACCAACCGAACTTTTAACCAGACCAGATCATCTAAGAAACTTCGGTGCACTGTAATACCAGAGGCCAAACTGCGTCATGCAAATCTGCGTTCCTCAGAGCGTGTGCACCACCCCGGCAGGAGCTCAGATTAGGACCCCGCTGCGAGGCTCACTGCATGTTCCCGGCAGACGTCTGGGCAACGCCAAATGCATCCACCTGCAACAGACATTTAAATGGCCTTTGCAAGAAAAATGACTGAGAAAAAGACACACACATTCTTATATAACATTCACAAAAGCAAATTCCACGCATATGTTTAACAAAAAAGTTGAGAAACCAAGGAAATAAAGTTTAAAAAGGGAAAATACAAGAAAATACTGTTGTGGCTTTGAAGAATGAAGGTTCTATTTTAAAATACACCAGAAATCAGATGTTGAAGGGAAACATGGATACTCTGCTCCACCGAACACACAGAAACCTGTGCATGACAAAAGAAACTCCACGCAAAGTGGAAAGGTAATCCAGGAAAGGGGAAATAATATTTAAACATTTTATGCATCATCTGGATTCTGGGATCAATAAAGAACTATGACAGTGAAGGGAAGGAAAAAAGAATAACTCAACTGAAAAAGAAACGTTCGAAACACCAGAACAGGCGACAGAGACGTTAAGGGCAGGAGCTGCAGGAGAAATACTGGAAAACCCACAATTTTGACACAAAACGGGAAAAGCAAGATATCATTTTCAGCCATCAACAGAGCAAAATGAAAAGTTTGGTTCCTGCAGTGCACAGCTGCTGGGGTCCTGGGCCCCCCTCTGCAGTGGGAGGTGAGAGCTGCTCCCACCACTCTCGGGAACCTGCTGCTCCAGGGCCTGGCCCAGCAGTCGGCGGGGGGTCTGCACGCTCTGCCCTCAGTCTTGGGGTCTGGAGGACGTGTGCCCAGAGCATCCTGGGAACCGTCCCCCCACTTCACCCGACAGAGAAACAACGTCCCTTGCGTGGGAAGGGCACAGAGATGAGACCAAAGGTGGCCCGTTTTCTGGTCTCTTTCCCCGTGTTAGTGAAGCATGTGGAAGCAGAGCTGAAACCTGGACGCCTTTCCGTGTGGACCACAAGGCTCCACCTCCAGGGCCCGGCCTGGCCGTGTGGGAGCCACGGGGCAGGAGCCATGGTCTGTCCGAATCTTGTCACAGGTGGATTTTCAAACTGCTTCAGCAGAGGATTTAGTTTCTCAAGCTGGTGTCTTTGAAAACTGAAGCCAACAAAGTTATGAGTCTCTGTGTGTTAAGAAACTATCTGGTTTCTGTTTCTTTTCGTTTTGTTATAAGTGGGTTAGGAACAAGGAGCAGAACATCTTTTCCCTGGTTCAAACATCAAATCAATTAGACATGCCTTCCAGCTTGGGGCGGGACGCAGCAGAGGGTTCTGGGTGCAGGCCTGGCGCGATTGGGAGGCTTGTGTGCCACGTGTGCTAGGGAGACGGGCAGGGCCCTGGTTCATCTATGACCAGCTTGGCTGGGAGGAGGAAGGGGATCGAGGGGCCCACAAGCTGCTAAAACTTCTAACCTCAACCGGTGGTCTAGGCATTGGTTCTCAAACTGCAGCATATCAGACGCATCTGGACAGTTTAAAAATACACTGATGTCTGGATCCCATTGGAGAATTCTGATATAACTGGTATGGATGGATATTAGTTTTCTATTCTTGTATAACAAATTACCAAAACTTAGCAGCCTAAAACAAAACACACTCATTATTTCCCAGTATTCATGGGTTATCGTTGGGCCACAGCTTGGCTGAGGCCCAGATCAGACTCTCACCTGGCTGCAGCCCAGATGTCAACCAGGCTGCGCTCTCAGGCAACAGAATTCTCCTGTGGCTGTAGGACTGAGAGCCCTGGCTTCCTACTGGCTGTCGGCTGGATGCACCTTCAGGTCCCAAAGGCCACCCCGGTTCCCTGCCACGGGGCTGCCCAGCCCCAGCTCACAGATGGCTGTTTCCTGCTTCCAGGCCAGCAGGAGAGAGCACGAGAGAGCACGGATGTGTACAGGTGTGTGTGTGTGTGATGTATATATGTATAAAGCTATATAACAGTGTATACATGTATGTAAAATATAATCTATAACGGGGTACATAAAATCCATGTAATACATGCAACACCGTGTGTATATAACAACATCATCGAGGGGTGACGTCCGTCACCCTGGCCTCTTCTATCGATGAGAAGCAAGTCTTTCTGACCCCAATCACAGGGATGTTGTGACTCACTGGGGTCACCTTAGGTGTGTCTGCCACACAGTGTGACATGCCATTGGGACTTTTAAAGCTCCCAAGACAATTTTAACGTGCAGCAAAAATTTGTGAGCCACTGATCGGAGGACCTTTGCTGCCATCTGACTCCAGAGGCAGGTGGGGTCTTCCTCCTGCCCTCACTGCCCAGTCCAGGCCAGGTGCTGACCAGGAGCCCAGACCAGACTTGTCCACGTGAGATGATCCTCGACGTGCTGGCGGAGACGGCGCAGGCGCACTTGGATGCACAGAGGGAAGTTCAGCCCAAAGTCTGAGTGACCCGATGAATTTGGCAAATTATTTCAAAAATCATCTATCAACATTCTTGCATTCTTAATAAAAGCAACTTCTGTTTAAATAAAACATTAAGAAGCAGGGAGCTGAGCCCAGTCTCTCTCCCCCACTGCAAGACCCTGTTACAGTGGTTCCCCAAAAAAACACAAAAAACAAAAAAGTAAAATAAAATTTTAAAGAAAGAGGCAAAGGGAAAAAAACAAAAATATAAAAGAATAAGAGGAAAATATCTTTTTTTTTTTTTTTTAGACAGAGTCTTGCTTTTGTTGCCCGGGCTAGAGTGAGTGCCGTGGCATCCTGGCTCACAGCAACCTCAAACTCCTGGGCTCAAGCGATCCTCCTGCCTCAGCCTCCCGAGTAGCTAGGACTACAGGCATGCACCACCATGCCCGGCTAATTTTTTCTATATATTTTTAGTTGTCTGATTAATTTCTTTCTATTTTTAGTAGAGACGGGGTCTCGCTCTTGCTCAGGCTGGTTTCAAACTCCTGAGCTCAAACAATCCGCCTGCCTCGGCCTCCCAGAGTGCTAGGATTACAGGCGTGAGCCACCGCGCCCGGCCAAGAGGAAAATATCTTAAATTAACACTGTGACATTGGGGTACTGCAGATGCTACTAACAAAGACCAAAAAAAAAACTCTTTCTCGAAGGAGAGATTGACATATTTGACCATACCTAAAAGACTTTTAAACAAAGTGAAAAGATGAACCACAAAGGACAAATGTGTTTAAGGTGTAATTAATTGAGAAGCGATCAGTTTCCCAAATCCATAAAGAACCTCAATAAAGCGACAGCAGAGAAGGAACCCACGGTTTACACACGCAGGACAGGACCGAGCCCCGGCTTCCGCGAAGGGACAGCACCCTGGGAGGGACGCTCCCTGCACAGACTCCAGACGCAGCCACAGGCGAGCGCACGAGCCCCCCCAGCCCCCAGGGAGCAGACTTCCCGGGCTCCTGCCCCCTGGGCTGCACGTGGCCCCACTTGGGGCAGTTGGTGACTCAGCACTTTCTCTTCTTGGAAACTGAGGCTCATGGGAGATATGCAGATGAGCCCAGAGCACCATGGGAAACGGCCCTATATAGGCCCAGGCGGCGGGGGCTGCTCCCCCTTTCCCCGGTGCCCGTGGGAGCAGAGGCACCGGCGCGGGTGAGGGTCTGGGGGGGGCGGTATCTCGGGGCCTGGCCTGGTGCTGGGTGACGAGTTGGGAGGCCAAAGCGCCACAGTGGACCCCCTGGTGCCATGGGCCAGCTGGGGGGGTCCTGGGATTAGTTTCCCTTAGGTTCTGTCGAACCAGGCTGACGGGGTGCTGGGTCCCTGAGGTGGGGATCGGGTTGACGAGCCCGGGGCTGGTTGGGACGAGGGTGAGGGACCCCCAGCCCCAGCGCAGTTCAAGCCGCGCAGGACCCTCACGGGGCGTCTGAACCCCACAGCCCTCACCCTGCTGAGCCAGCGCAACCCGCTCCCCCTGCCTGCTGGGGGCGCCTAACCTCGCTCCCTTTGCCTTTGCAGCTCCCAGAGCCTGGAGCAGTTGCAGAAGCTGAAGAAATTTCCGGAAGTTCAGACTTCCCCACCTCTGCAGGTCCCCATTGAGCTGGACCCAGTACATCCACCCCCACCCCAGATCCCTGCACAAAAAGCCCTTTCTCCTCTTCCTCCTTTTCCTCCCCCGCTTTTCCCTCCTGCTCCTCATCCCTTTCCCTCTTGCTGGACGCGCCCCCGTGGCCAGACCACCTGCAGCCCCCAGCAAGCCCTGCTCTTGCCGTCCACCCGCCAGGAGGAGGCGGCCTGGCCATGTGCCCCCCGGTCAGCCTGCGACACGGGAGGGAGGGCATGTCCTACCTCTACGCCTCCTGGCTGTATCATCTCCGACACGGAGACCCGCCGAGGCTGTGCTTCGCTTGCTTCAGGGTTGCCTTTCTGGACCTTAAAGACTCGCTGGAGTCGGAAGACTGGGAAGATGAAGACTGGGACCCTGAGCTGATGGAGCACACTGGGGCGGGCTCTGAGCAGCAGGGGTCCCCCGGGGTGGGGCCGAGCTGGGAGCAGGGCCCAGGGCAGGCTGTGCAGGGGGGCTCTCAGGCCTTGGGGCAGGGGGCCCTGGCATCAGGCCCAGAGGGGCCGGAAGAGGCTGGCCTGGACCATGACTTTGTGCCCACTGATTTGCAGCCTCACAATGCAGTTCCCCTGGGCCTGGGCCCCGAGGATGCTGACTGGACCCAGGGCCTTCCCTGGAGACTTGAGGAGCTTCCTGCCTGCTCACACTGGCCCAGCTGCTCTCCTTCGTGGCAGGGCTTTCTCAGAGTGGACCTGCCCCCAGGGGAGCCCATGGTGTTGGAGCTGGGCACCACCTGGGCAGTGAACCCTGCCGAGACTGAGGCCTGGTTACTGGACCTGCAGGTTGTCTCCATAGTGGGCTGCTACGATGCCATCTACCTCCGGAAGATGACTCCAGGCTGGGCCCTGAGGACCCCGGAAGAGCACTGGAAAGTGTTGCTGGAGCCTGAGGAGGTGTGGGTGGTAAGACTGCAAGACGCACCCCAGGAGCAGGACCTGCAACAGTGGAAGCTGAGCATCGTGGAAATCTCTGGACACAGTGCAGAGCTGGTTCCCGCAGACACAGCCCTGCTCACAAGGGGGTTCACCATTGTCTCTTATTCACCCTGGAACAAAAGGGAGACAGAGGAGGGGGACTCAGCCTCTGAGCCTCAGTCCTCCACCCAAGGACAGGAACCCAGCACCACCGAGACCTGGAACAGTGAGCCCAGGGGGCCTGGGGAAAGCCTGGCTGTTGCGGGAGCCTCAGCTATGGGGGAGTTGTCCTGTTCCAAGCCCTTCAGCCCAGAGCCCCAGAACTGAGGGACCGAGACCCAGGGGACCACCTTTGTCCTGGCTGCCCCAGGAAAGACTGGCAAATACTCTGCCGCAACAGCCAGAGGAGCAATTGGCAAAGGATGGGGACCTTTGCCTATGTAGGAAATATCAAGCACCCTAGGGACTAGGAAATGGGGCCCTCCATAGCCTCAGAGGGGAGTGACAGAAATGCCCATTGCTGTGGGATAAGTTCTTATCAGTTAACTGTCACATCCTTTGGGACATGACAGTGACCTGGACATGCTGGTGTGGTCGGTTCCTGGGCTGCATCGACGTGGGGAACGGGGCACAGGACCACGCACCAGCCCTGCCCTGGCCATGCAGAGGCGAGTCTGTCACGTAACTCTCACTTCCTGGAACATACCAGGCGCTCTGGACGGCACAGATGTGTGCTCACCTTTGCCTAGATCCTCTCTGGGGCAGCACAAGGTCCTGTCAACGGCACCGGAGATTATAGTCTGCGGTGGGAAGAGATCTATTTTCAAATGTTGGCCATCTATGCGGTTTGTTTAGTTCTGGTTTGTTTATATGTTGTTTTTAATTAAATAAAGTCATAGTTTTTCACCAAGCCCTTGTTCAGAGCTCTTTGTCAGAAAACCCTGGTTCATTGGCCTTGTGCTCTTCTTCCCTGGGACAGATCAATCCAGGCAGTGCCAGCCTCACCAGTCACGGAGGGCCAGGACGACGACAAAATTCAAGCTTCCAGGTTAGTGACCAGGTCTGGGCCTTTTTTAATGCCTGGAAGAGGGAAGGCCGTGGACGATGTGTTCTCCCTCCCGACCCCTCATACCCTGAAAACTGAATGAAAATCCAGCTGATCTCCCAGCCTCGTTTGTGGAACTTGGAACCCAACAACATACACCAGTGTCCTGATGTAACATCAAGTGCCACACGGATCCTTGGGTGTATAGAATGTCGGTAAATTGTAAAGTTGACATTTCACATCCGAGTGCAGAGATGTTAGTGATTGGTGTTGGGAACCGTCCATCACTGAACGTTCATTGAACCTACTCAGCATCGTGCCTTGGCCCAGGCACTGGAGATCGGTCCGAGCACAACACAGGTGGAGAGCTCTGTGGGGTGGAGCCTCCATTCTAGGAGGGAGGCGTGATAAACTGACAGAGGGTGGAGGAGGTTGCCAGTGTAGGAGATCAGATATGCCAGGCAGGTGGGGCCTCTGAAACTGACACTGTCCAGGGGCTCGCATCCAACGTCCCTCACTCCCGCCCCCCTTCCTCCTCCCATTCACTTTTCCCACATGCCGAGCTCTGTGACTTGATGGTGGCCTCTGTCCTTCCAAGGGACTAGGAAGTCACAGTGTGGAAGCACGTCCATGTGCCCTGGTCAGGTCTCTTGCCAGTGCTACAGAAGAACCCCCTCGTCACACTTCTCGTGCTCTGGGTCATCATCGTGGTAGTCATGTTGTAATCATGCACTTAGAGACTGTCCTTTTAAAAATAACTTCCAGTATTGTTTATTTCAAAGTAATGCAAATTCATTGTCAAAACGTGGACAACAGATAAGCAAATAAGAGGAAAGTTAACATCACCGGTCACATACCCTCCGGAAAGGGCAAAAGGTATGGTCTCTGTGTATCACTCTGAAGTAGGGAGAATGGTTGCAGGAGAGGCTGGAAGGGAGGGCCCGTGACATCCAGCTGTGGCCAGCTCTGTCCTCAGCCATCTTGGGGCAGGATCGCCCCTGGGCCGGTCCAGAGCCCGGCTGGGGCCCAGAGTTCCCTGTTGAGTCCAGAGTCTCTGACTCCCCCAGAGGCCCTAGGAGCCATGCAGGTCACAGCCTCTGAGTGGCACAGGAGCAAACGAGTGCTGGGAGTCACGGAGCCTTCCCTGGAAAGGGTGGAGGTGATGATGCCGCCAAGCCTGGGCTCTGGAAACGGTGCGCACATCCTCAATGTTCTGCAGACACATCTGCAGATAACCTCGTTCCACTTGGGGGTGGGTTTCCAGGCAGGTAGGGATCAAGGAAGTGGGTGGGGGCACCCATGCAAGACCCCAAGGAGCAGAGCCCCTGACAGCCAGGCAGGGGTTTTCTTCAACAACAGCAAGGGTGGGGGCTGCCCTGTGAGGCCAGCGGAGACCCGAGCTGGAGAAGGGTCTTTGGCATGGGTCTGAGCGGCACCATATGGCGGTGGCGG